CCAGAAGAGGTAGAACAGCCAGAAGAGCTAGAACAGCCAGAAGAGCTAGAACAGCCAGAAGAGCTAGAACAGCCAAAAGAGTTAGAACAGCCAGAAGAGCCAGAACAGCCAGAAGAGCCAGAACAGCCAGAAGAACCAGAACAGCCAGAAGAAAAACTCAAAGAAGATGCAGAAGTTCAAACATATTTACAGGGAATACCAGTCGTACATATTTCTATTGAATACCGAGATGAAGCCTCACAAACGATGTATATGCATCCACCATGCCCACCTTTACAATATTTTAGAGATATCATGAGTATGCGATTTGTCATTCTTTATTATAATTATTTACCACGCATATCTTTTTTTATAGGAATAATAAAATTAAAATTAATTACTTCGTAACATTTTTTAGGATCTTTATACATTAAAAATATAGACAAACACATTTTTAATTTCTATTAAAATATATGCCATATAGCATCTATGAAAGAGGTTCCCATGCCCGATTTAAAGAGGAGCAACGTAGCTGCAACTATTATTAGCTTCCATCCCGAAACACCGCAAGATGTTGTGATCGATCAACTATCCGCGGACGTCACGGACGAAGAACGTGAAGAATTCGTTTCTAAACTTAGCGACGAAGAAGAAAGGGACATGGATATCACTGAAATATTACATTTTATATTAATACGTGTATTTTGGATAGATGATCCGACCAGTCAAATACCAGCTGAGACTGCGGATAAAATTGTGCAAACTTATATCAAATATAATAATCGCACAAAAATCTTCGTTATAGATAATCAAGTACAAACTGATTTAAGTTGCGAACCGAAAGAATCTAATACGATGCTTTTATCGGATTATTGGGAAACAAAGAATATGATATTGAATTACTTGGAAGATTGTATTACTAAAGCAATTGAAGTTAGAATTATAGTAGATGATATAATAGATGAAATCATCGATAAATGTGCGGAAAGAGTTAGATATCCTATGAAAGAACAAAGCATACAAACTATAGCTACATACAAATTAGACAAAACAGAAAAAGATGTATTGAAAAAATTAAAACTCGATATGATCGTAGATCCCTTAGAAGCATCGATTATTGTCCTACCTTTGATAGATGATTTGTTGCAGATAGTTTGCGTTAATGTATCTAAAAATGCTGCTAAAAATGTTAAGATCATTTTAAATAAAATTCTACAACGGACGACAAATATAATAACAAAACTTATGGAACTAGAAAAACAAGCACAGCGTTAGTATCAATATACATTCAAATATTACGTTATTAAAAATGACACTGTCGTTGTCATTATCATTGAATTAAAAATTTCATATTCATTCCTTCACACATTATTTTGCACTAAAATAAGATATAAGATTTAACCAAGTATTTAATTGTTAATACGAAACTGTAATAACGAAATAATATTTTTATATCATATTTTAGGCAAACCAATAGATCAAGTGTTAGCTAAAAGAAAGAAGAAAATTCTTGAATTGTTATCGAAGAAAGAAACAGAAACAATTGCTACACAAACGAGTATAGCAGCAATTTCTGAAGTTAAAAAAATTATAAAATCGAAAGAAGTTTTATGTTCCGTTTGTAGAAGACAGTCAATGTGTCAATATTGTACGAGTAATCAAAAAATTGAAGGTGTTCCACAAGAGGAGTTTAAGATTCTTCGAACGCAAGATATATTGCTAGCATATAAACCCTGTTATATTATGACCAAAATATCCCAAGAAGACAAAAGCCTTGAAGTCACTTGTCCAGAAAAAAGTTTGAAATCTTCTTCAAAACTTCAAGTTTCTTCCTCGATGGATTCAAAAGAATCTCGTCATACAATTTGTGTATTTTTACAATCTGGTAAACTTGAACCTCGAGGTAAATATATTTAATGAAAGAAATTTTGAATTTAATATAATTACTATTTATTATTTATTTTTTATTATTATTTTTCAGAATCATTTAACGAATGGTCTTACGTAACTGAAGCTACGATAATGAAACCATGTTCCATAAAAGGTAAAATTATTATTATTTATAAATAATATATACATATACATTTTAACATGAATTTATTAAATATATTATTAAATAATAAATATATATATTAAATTATATTTTATAGAATCTATGAATAGCTCAAGTCAAACAACTGTAAGTTCGCTAGATCCATCATTTCAACCAGTTTTGTGTAGCACCCATAGTACATTAACTTCCCAAGCAGCAACCGCTTTGCAAATATTAAAAAATACATTTTGTACTCGAGAAACTTGTATTATTTCCTCGCAACAAACTTCGCTTATGGAGAATGAAAAAGTTTATAGTTGCAGTAAATCAAGTTGCAATGCATGTTTAACTATAAATAACACAAGCTGTACACAACAAACGTGTAAAGCTTTCTCAAAATTACATTTACCTAATACAAATACATGTAATTTTCAATGTCCTATGAAATCACATGGAGATGGTTTTAAAATTATTCCTATACATCTTTCTAAAGATTCTTCTATTTGCAATTAATATACAAATTAAAACATTATTTTACATATATTTATAATTATAATTAAATGTATACATTACAATAATTAATACATTCTTAAGATATTTATTTGACAGAAATAAATGCATATACACTGTTTAAGTATTCTCAGCCAAGCTATCTATGTGTCGTAACATAAACATTCATAATATTATATAATACATTCATGATAGTACATTCATTTATTATATACGCCTCGCATAAAAATAATTATATAAATTATATACATACATAATTATATTTCGTACATAATTCTTAAATTAATTACAATGAAACATGTATAAAAATATATTTATGAGATTTCTCTCATATTGTAGTTTATAAAGCTTATGTAAATAAAACATTATAAAAATATATATATTATTGTATATATAAATATATATACTCATATCATATCCATATAAAATTCATACATTTCTTCTTATTAACATTTTCATCATAAATTTTATTTGATTTATTTTTATAAAAGTACATATTTTATATTTGTGCTTTTATTAATATATGTGATATATAATGAATAATAACATATATGAAATATAATGAATCATAACATATATGATTCGTAACACATGTAATACATGAAATGATTTTATAAAATATGTACTTTTAAATTGAAATTCTTAATTATTTAAATCATAAAAAATAACTTATTATTTTATTTTTATATAATTTATGAATAAAAACTAAACTTACACATAATTAATGAAAATACAAACAGAGTGTTGTGAGTTACATTAAATTATATATTATTTTTAAGATTTATGTTATCTAGTTAATATAAGTATCTAGTTATAAATATCTAATACTTGTAATATTTTTAATTTGTTCTGAGGTCATTGCTAAATAAAACGAGTATTTTAAAAAATGTTAACAATGGAACAAAAAACCAATTAAAAATATCAATTAAAGAATTGAGAACAAATAAAAAACATCAAAATTTGTGATGTGGTGACTATGATGAAATATTAGTGACTAATAATTGTTTCTTATATTTTTTTTAAAAAAAAAATAATATTTATATCATTTATAAAATGATTTGAAAATTTCCATATTATAAGATTAAATGCGTTAGTACAGATAATACAGAAAATTTAATGTTAAGCCATATAAATGCAATTTTTTTAATTAACATTTGCTGCTTTATATTCATCTTCTTCTTCTTCTGACTGTAATTCTTTAATGGCCACTGCGGTCATTTGTGTTGTTTCTTCCTCAGAAAGTGTCGATATTTTTTGTTGATTTAAATTATTCCATGATTGAATTTCTGCTGATCCAAAAAACCAGAAGAGTATTGTTGCAGATGTAAATACTGCTGTTGAAATCCAGAACATAATACGCCATTCTTCTACTCCATTCTATAAAAAAATAACAATAAATAATTGTTTTTAACTCATTTATATTATAACAGTATGTTATAACAATATGTTATAATAATATGAATCTTATATATTCAATTTTATACATACTCTTTCATTTGTCAAAGCACCAATAATTGCTGGAATAATAAATCCAGGAAAACTACCAAAAGTGTTCATGATTCCATATAAAGAGCCAGCATAATTGGGTGCAAGATCTTGATGGTTTTGTAAATTAGTTTGACATGCAGCTCCATTAAAACTTAGTGCTATTATTAACATAACAATTGCAGTTATTGCATCACAACCAACATATGTCATTACAATCAAAGCTAATGCTGGACCCATATGTGCTATAAAAATAAATTTATTTTTAATTCATCATTTCACTATTTAATTTCATTAAATAAAATTTATTCAATCAATTATCATTCAAATTTACTTACAAAAGAGCATAAATATCTTTCTAATCCATCCTAAAGTAAGAATTTTTTTTTTTCGAACATAATCACCAGCTGCAGCAAATAATACTCCAGCACCAAGTCTTGCTATGTAAGGTAATCCTGTAATTGATCCTCCCTAAATGTAATTAAATAAAATTTAGCTTGTTTTAATATGAAAACAATTCCAATGATGTATAAATTAATAATAATAATAATAAATTAAATAATATTACCGATTTCATATTAAAACCAAGAACTTCTAAAGTATATTTCGGTCCATTAGTAGCAATGAAATATATACCCCACATATTTGCAAAATGAGCCCATAGTAAAACTAAAAATGGTATTGATGTAGCAACAGCTTTGACTGGTAGTTTCACCTAATTTATATTAATATTTAATGATGCTAGTATTACATAAAAGAATATAATTTATTTCATAAATTTAAAACATAAAAATTTATACTTACTTTCTGTTTAGAAACACTCGTACCTATTTGTTCTTTGATAAAAACTTTTTCATTTTCTGTGATTCCTGGATGAAGATCAGGTGTATCATATATAAGAAATACCCACAAAGCATAAAAAATCAATATAAGTCCACTTGTAACATAATATGCAGCTTTCCAACCAAAAGCACTGATTATTTGACCACATAATGTAAATGTTACTACAGTTCCAAAAGGACCACCTAAAAAATATCTTATTATTTTGGTATATATATTATTAATATTGTTTTAATATTTTGATATAATATAATTTTATATTTAATTTTTATTAAATATAAGTACCTTGCATTGTCCATACAAATATACCTTTCTCACTAGGAGGAACCCATCTGGCAATCATTGCATGAAGAGCAGGATAAATAGCTGCCTATTAATTTAATAAATTTATTAATTAATTCTTGTTTATAATAAATATTTCGTTATTTTGTTATTAAATACAATTAATAGAAATACATAAAAAATTTGTATAGATATATGTTTTTTTATAGTGAATATTTATACATAAAAAAAATATGTTTAAAATTTTCAAAATTCAAAATCGAGAATACAAAATTAAATAAAAATATGAAAAATATTTTTATATTCAAAATTCTACATATATTTTTGTAAAACTATTTTATTTAATGGAAAATTTTAAATAATTAGGAAAGAAAGTAATTAAATTAAATTAAAAAGATAAATAATTGAGCAAACTTACTCCAAAAAAGCCCATCAAAAAACGAAGTACGAATACTAAACCATAATGAATACCAGAAACCCAAGGCATCAAAAGGTTTAATACTGCAGGTATTAATGTTGCAAATCTATATTAAAATATTGTACAAAGAATACATAAATAAATAATATATAAAATTTAATACAAAATAACGAAAAGTATTATAACTTACGCTACTACTCTAGAACCTCCATACTTTTCTGCTAAAAGACCAGCAGGTATACTTGCTGGAAGAACTCCATAAAAATAACCAGAAAGTAAAAAACCTTGTATATGTTGATTCCATTCAAATCGTTCGCCATACTGTAAGATAAAAATATATAAATTTATAAATTAAATATATAAATATATAAATTACGGATTTCTTGAATATAAATAAATACAAATATTATGCATATAATATAGTATTATATAATTAAAAAAAAATCTTACATCTTTAAGTTCAATAGTTCTATTCGTAGTATTACTGATAATAGTAGCAGAACATGCTGGACCATTTCCTCCACTTTTACTAGTTGTATTTACCATAGCAACGATTATAATTGACAAATTAGTGCGAATCATATATGAAAACATACACGCTAAAAACATCATGGCACCTAAAATTGCTCTTCTTGGTATTCGTTCTGGAATATGTACGTGCATATTTTATTTATTAATAGAGAAGTTTTATTTAGTTTTATTTCATCTTATTTAAATGTTATATAGTTACATATAGTTATTCATATTATATTATATAAGAATATATAGATATTTTTAAGTTTTAAATAATGTATATTTTAAAAAACTTGAAAAAATTTTCAACTTTCGTTTCAATCGCAAAATAAATTTAATAAAAATATTATTTTATTTATATATTTAATAAAATTTAATTATTTTTACTAATTTTTTGTTACTCATAAAATTTATGATTTTTTCCATCTGTTTTATTTAATAATATTTATGAACATATTATGAACAATATTCTAATATGAACAATAATAATTGTATTCAATTAAATAGGATCAAATTCCCAGAAAAGTTCTATTATATAAATAAATTATATATAATATATATATAATTATATAAAAACTGGCAAAATAACGGTATTACTTTTATCTTTATTTAACTGTCAAGACAATACTAACAATATAAGTTTCATATA